GTTGTACTGCTGCTGTGCCAGGCTAGGTGCAGGAGGAGGTGGTCACGTGACAGACCCTGCAGGTGCCATGGGTTGTACTGCTGTGCCAGGCTAGGTGCATGAGGAGGTCACGTGACAGACCCACAACTCTCCCCACCACCAAACCTCCACCACCCAGGATGGTTTGGTGCTGATTGTTGCTGCCCGCCCGGCGTCGATGCGACGACTGAGCCAGAGACCCCCCCAGATCCCAGAGATCCCAGATCCCACCAACCCCACAGACCCCAGATCCCACAGATCCCACCAACCCCCCAGATCCCACAGATCCCACCAACCCCCCAGATCCCACAGATCCCACCAACCCCCCAGATCCCACAGATCCCAAATCCCACAGATCCAGACCCCAGATCCCACCAACCCCACAGACCCCAGATCCCACCAACCCCACAGATCCACAGACCCCAGATCCCACAGATCCCACCAACCCCACAGATCCCAGATCCCACCAACCCCACAGATCACAGATCCCACCAACCCCACAGATCACAGATCCCACCAACCCCACAGATCACAGATCCCACAGATCCCAGATCCCACCAACCCCACAGATCCACAGACCCCAGCTCCCACAGATCCCACCAACCCCACAGATCCCACCAACCCCACAGATCCCAGATCCCACCAACCCCACAGATCCCACCAACCCCACAGATCCCACAGATCCCACCAACCCCACCAACCCCACCAACCCCACAGATCCCACCAACCCCACAGATCCCAGATCCCACAGATCCCAGATCCCACAGATCCCAGATCCCACCAACCCCACAGATCCCACAGATCCCAAATCCCACATCCCACCAACCCCACAGATCCCACAGATCCCAAATCCCACATCCCACCAACCCCACAGATCCCACAGATCCCAAATCCCACATCCCACCAACCCCACAGATCCCAAATCCCACATCCCACCAACCCCACAGATCCCACAGATCCCAAATCCCACATCCCACCAACCCCACAGATCCCAAATCCCACATCCCACCAACCCCACAGATCCCACAGATCCCAAATCCCACATCCCACCAACCCCACAGATCCCACAGATCCCAAATCCCACATCCCACCAACCCCACAGATCCCACAGATCCCAAATCCCACATCCCACCAACCCCACAGATCCCACAGATCCCAAATCCCACATCCCACCAACCCCACAGATCCCACAGATCCCAATCCACATCCCACCAACCCCACAGATCCCACAGATCCCAAATCCCACATCCCACCAACCCCACAGATCCCACAGATCCCAAATCCCACATCCCACCAACCCCACAGATCCCACAGATCCCAAATCCCACATCCCACCAACCCCACAGATCCCACAGATCCCAAATCCCACATCCCACCAACCCCACAGATCCCACAGATCCCAAATCCCACATCCCACCAACCCCACAGATCCCACAGATCCCAAATCCCACATCCCACCAACCCCACAGATCCCACAGATCCCAAATCCCACATCCCACCAACCCCACAGATCCCACAGATCCCAAATCCCACATCCCACCAACCCCACAGATCCCACAGATCCCAAATCCCACATCCCACCAACCCCACAGATCCCACAGATCCCAAATCCCAGATGCCACCAACCCCACCGATCCCAGATGCCACCAACCCCACCGATCCCAGATGCCACCAACCCCACCGATCCCAGATGCCACCAACCCCACCGATCCCAGATGCCACCAACCCCACAGATCCCAGATGCCACCAACCCCACAGATCCCAGATGCCACCAACCCCACAGATCCCAGATGCCACCAACCCCACAGATCCCAGATGCCACCAACCCCACAGATCCCAGATGCCACCAACCCCACAGATCCCAGATGCCACCAACCCCACAGATCCCAGATGCCACCAACCCCACAGATCCCAGATGCCACCAACCCCACAGATCCCAGATGCCACCAACCCCACAGATCCCAGATGCCACCAACCCCACAGATCCCAGATGCCACCAACCCCACAGATCCCAGATGCCACCAACCCCACAGATCCCAGATGCCACCAACCCCACAGATCCCAGATGCCACCAACCCCACAGATCCCAGATGCCACCAACCCCACAGATCCCAGATGCCACCAACCCCACAGATCCCAGATGCCACCAACCCCACAGATCCCAGATGCCACCAACCCCACAGATCCCAGATGCCACCAACCCCACAGATCCCAGATGCCACCAACCCCACAGATCCCAGATGCCACCAACCCCACAGATCCCAGATGCCACCAACCCCACAGATCCCAGATGCCACCAACCCCACAGATCCCAGATGCCACCAACCCCACAGATCCCAGATGCCACCAACCCCACAGATCCCAGATGCCACCAACCCCACAGATCCCAGATGCCACCAACCCCACAGATCCCAGATGCCACCAACCCCCACAGATCCCAGATGCCACCAACCCCACAGATCCCAGATGCCACCAACCCCACAGATCCCAGATGCCACCAACCCCACAGATCCCAGATGCCACCAACCCCACAGATCCCAGATGCCACCAACCCCACAGATCCCAGATGCCACCAACCCCACAGATCCCAGATGCCACCAACCCCACAGATCCCAGATGCCACCAACCCCACAGATCCCAGATGCCACCAACCCCACAGATCCCAGATGCCACCAACCCCACAGATCCCAGATGCCACCAACCCCACAGATCCCAGATGCCACCAACCCCACAGATCCCAGATGCCACCAACCCCACAGATCCCAGATGCCACCAACCCCACAGATCCCAGATGCCACCAACCCCACAGATCCCAGATGCCACCAACCCCACAGATCCCAGATGCCACCAACCCCACAGATCCCAGATGCCACCAACCCCACAGATCCCAGATGCCACCAACCCCACAGATCCCAGATGCCACCAACCCCACAGATCCCAGATGCCACCAACCCCCACAGATCCAGATGCCACCAACCCCACAGATCCCAGATGCCACCAACCCCACAGATCCCAGATGCCACCAACCCCACAGATCCCAGATGCCACCAACCCCACAGATCCCAGATGCCACCAACCCCACAGATCCCAGATGCCACCAACCCCACAGATCCCAGATGCCACCAACCCCACAGATCCCAGATGCCACCAACCCCACAGATCCCAGATGCCACCAACCCCACAGATCCCAGATGCCACCAACCCCACAGATCCCAGATGCCACCAACCCCACAGATCCCAGATGCCACCAACCCCACAGATCCCAGATGCCACCAACCCCACAGATCCCAGATGCCACCAACCCCACAGATCCCAGATGCCACCAACCCCACAGATCCCAGATGCCACCAACCCCACAGATCCCAGATGCCACCAACCCCACAGATCCCAGATGCCACCAACCCCACAGATCCCAGATGCCACCAACCCCACAGATCCCAGATGCCACCAACCCCACAGATCCCAGATGCCACCAACCCCACAGATCCCAGATGCCACCAACCCCACAGATCCCAGATGCCACCAACCCCACAGATCCCAGATGCCACCAACCCCACAGATCCCAGATGCCACCAACCCCACAGATCCCAGATGCCACCAACCCCACAGATCCCAGATGCCACCAACCCCACAGATCCCAGATGCCACCAACCCCACAGATCCCAGATGCCACCAACCCCACAGATCCCAGATGCCACCAACCCCACAGATCCCAGATGCCACCAACCCCACAGATCCCAGATGCCACCAACCCCACAGATCCCAGATGCCACCAACCCCACAGATCCCAGATGCCACCAACCCCACAGATCCCAGATGCCACCAACCCCACAGATCCCAGATGCACCAACCCCACAGATCCCAGATGCCACCAACCCCACAGATCCCAGATGCCACCAACCCCACAGATCCCAGATGCCACCAACCCCACAGATCCCAGATGCCACCAACCCCACAGATCCCAGATGCCACCAACCCCACAGATCCCAGATGCCACCAACCCCACAGATCCAGATGCCACCAACCCCACAGATCCCAGATGCCACCAACCCCACAGATCCAGATGCCACCAACCCCACAGATCCCAGATGCCACCAACCCCACAGATCCCAGATGCCACCAACCCCACAGATCCCACCAACCCCACAGATCCACAGATCCCCGATCCCACCAACCCCACAGATCCCAGATCTCACCAACCCCACAGATCCCAGATCCCACCAACCCCACACATCCCAGATCCCACAGATCCCAGATCCCACCAACCCCACAGATCCACAGACCCAAGATCCCACCAACCCCACAAATCCACAGATCCCACCAACCCCACCAACCCCACAGATCCCAGATCCCACCAACCCCACAGATCCCACCAACCCCACAGATCCCCGATCCCACCAACCCCACAGATCCCAGATCTCACCAACCCCACAGATCCCAGATCCCACCAACCCCACACATCCCAGATCCCACCAACCCCACAGATCCACAGACCCAAGATCCCACCAACCCCACAGATCCACAGACCCAAGATCCCACCAACCCCACAGATCCCAGATCCCACCAACCCCACAGATCCCACCAACCCCACAGATCCCACAGATCCCACCAACCCCACAGATCCCAGATCCCACCAACCCCACAGATCCCAGATCCCACCAACCCCATAGATCCCAGATGCCACCAACCCCACAGATCCCACCAACCCCACAGATCCCAGATCCCACCAACCCCACAGATCCCAGATCCCACCAACCCCACAGATCCACAGACCCAAGATCCCACCAACCCCACAGATCCCAGATCCCACCAACCCCACAGATCCCAGATCCCACCAACCCCACAGATCCCAGATCCCACCAACCCCACAGATCGCACCAGATCCCACAGATCCCACCAACCCCACAGATTGCACCAGATCCACAGATCCCACCAACCCCACCAATCCACAGACCCCACAGAGAGCCACACAAAGGTGAATATATTTTTTGATGCCTTTAATCCGTTTAAACATTTGACATCTTAGAAACAAGAAAAACATCATCTTCATCGTCATCACTTTCCTCCTCGCGGGGCCAGGCAGAGCTGCTGGTCAGGCGGAGGAGGGCTGCCCCTGGGCAAGTGCTGGTCAAGCGCTAGTCAAGCGCTGGTTAGGGGCTAGTTTAGTAGTTAAGGCTGGCGATTAAGCAGTGTGTAGCTGTGTGTGTAGCCGCGTGTGTGTGTGTAGCCGCGTGTGTGTGTAGCCGCGTGTGTGTGTGTGTGTAGCCGCGTGTGTGTGTGTAGCCGCGTGTGTGTGTGTATAGCCGCGTGTGTGTGTGTATAGCCGCGTGTGTGTGTGTATAGCCGTGTGTGTGTGTATAGCCGTGTGTGTGTGTATAGCCGTGTGTGTGTGTATAGCCGTGTGTGTGTGTGTAGCCGTGTGTGTGTGTGTAGCCGTGTGTGTGTGTGTAGCCGTGTGTGTAGCCGTGTGTGTAGCCGTGTGTGTGTGTAGCCGAGTTCTGGGGCAGCATCCACCTGTGAAGGAGACATGGGGAGAGACAGAACCCACAACGCCCCCAAAGGTAAAGACAAAGAACCCCCAGGTAGCCTCTAGCAGTGCTGTAGGGGCAAGTGCGTACGTGTGTACACACATACACTTCACGTGGCCTCAAGGTGCACATGGCCTGGCACAAGCGTCGTGGTGACTTGACCTCCACTTAGTGGCGAATGGCGGTTGTTGTTGTATGTGTGTATGTATGTATGTGTGTCTGTGTGGGGAGCGATAGTGTAGCGGTTAGCGCTACGCTGTGCTATGAACCTGGCGACCCGGGTTCGATTCCCGCTCACGGCCAACACCGTCAGTGACGATTATCTGAACCGGTTCCGGGCCTCCCCTAGGTCGACTCAGCCTCAAATGAGTACCTGGTGCGGTGTGTAAACATTGCCACTGGGGAGACAAAGGCGGTCGGGCGTGGTGCAGGCCACCCACCCCCTCGTGTACTGTTACCGGCCTTCATAGGTGCTCGCTAACAACACTTGCCCCTACAGTCTGTTAAGGCTAAATGGGGGATCTTTATCTTTGTGTGTATAAGTGTGTGTGTATGTACGTGTGTGTATGCGCGTACCTTGGTCTAGTTCACCGGTTTAAGAGTTCTTCTGCATAATTTTGGTTGTGACCTGTCAACAACAACACCACCACTGCCCCGTCAACAACCACCACCACGTCAACAACCAACACCACCACGTCAACAACACCACCACCGCCCCGTCAACAACCAACACCACCGCCCCGTCAACAACCACCACCACGTCAACAACCACCACCACCACCACGTCAACAACCAACACCACCACCACGTCAACAACACCACCACCACGTCAACAACACCACCACCACGTCAACAACACCACCACCACGTCAACAACACCACCACGTCAACAACCAACACCACCACCACGTCAACAACACCACCACCACGTCAACAACACCACCACCACGTCAACAACACCACCACCACGTCAACAACCACCACCACCACGTCAAGAACACCACCACCACGTCAAGAACACCACCACCACGTCAAGAACACCACCACCACGTCAACAACCAACACCACCACGTCAACAACCACCACGTCAACAACCACCACCACCACGTCAACAACCACAACACCACGTCAACAACCAACACCACCACGTCAACAACCAACACCACCACGTCAACAACCACAACACCACGTCAACAACCAACACCACCACGTCAACAACCAACACCACCACGTCAACAACCACAACACCACGTCAACAACCACAACACCACGTCAACAACCAACACCACCACGTCAACAACCACAACACCACGTCAACAACCACAACACCACGTCAACAACCACAACACCACGTCAACAACCAACACCACCACGTCAACAACCAACACCACCACGTCAACAACCAACACCACCACGTCAACAACCAACACCACCACGTCAACAACCACAACACCACGTCAACAACCACAACACCACGTCAACAACCAACACCACCACGTCAACAACCACAACACCACGTCAACAACCAACACCACGTCAACGGCAACCACCACCAGGCGTGCGATACCGTCTGCGTTTCGTGCAAGCGTCTGTGTGAGCGTGTGACTACGCGCGTGTGTGTGTACGTGTGTGAGCGCGTGTGTGTACGTGTGTGAGCGTGTGTGAGCGTGTGACTGCGTGCGTGTGACTGCGTGCGTGTGACTGCGTGTTTGTGAGCGTGTGACTACGTGTGTGCGAGCGTGTGTGCGTGTGTGCGAGCGTGTGTGCGTGTGTGCGAGCGTGTGACTGTGCGTGTCTGTGCGTGCGTCTGTGCGCGCGCGTGTCTGTCTATGTGTCTGTCTGTGTGTGTGTCTGCGTGTGTGTCTGTGTCTCTGCGTGTCTGTCTGTGTGTCTGTCTGTGTGTGTCTGCGTGTGTCTGTCTCACCGTCTTGATCTCCGTGTAGGCCTCCAGGCCGTACTCGCCGAGTTCACGGCCGGAGCCAGACAACTTGTAGCCCCCAAACGGGGCCTGGCTGGCAAACACATTGTAGCAGTTCACCCTACACACACACAGCGTCACACACACACATTGTAGCAGTTCACCCTACACACACACACACACAGCGTCACACACACGCACATTGTAGCAGTTCACCCTACACACACACACAGCGTCACACACACACACACACATTGTAGCAGTTCACCCTGCACACACACAGCGTCACACACACAGCGTCACACACATTGTAGCAGTTCACCCTACACAGTGTCACACACACACACTGCAGCAGTACACACACACACATTGTAGCAGTTCACCCTACACACAGTGTCACACACAGCGTCACAAACACACTGCAGCAGTACACACACACATTGTAGCAGTTCACCCTACACACACACACACTGTAGCAGTTCACCCTACACACACACAGTAGCAGTTCACCCCACACACACACACAGCGTCACACACACGTCACACACACACTGCAGCAGTACACACACACACAATTGTAGCAGTTCACCCTGCACACACACACAGCGTCACACAGTAGCAGTTCACCCTACACACAAACACAGCGTCACACAGTAGCAGTTCACCCTACACACAAACACAGCGTCACACAGTAGCAGGTCACCCTGCACACACACACACAGCGTCACACAGTAGCAGGTCACCCTGCACACACACACACACAGCGTCACACAGTAGCAGGTCACCCTGCACACACACACACACACAGCGTCACACAGTAGCAGGTCACCCTGCACACACACACACACAGCGTCACACAGTAGCAGGTCACCCTGCACACACACACACACACAGCGTCACACAGTAGCAGGTCACCCTGCACACACACACACACACAGCGTCACACAGTAGCAGGTCACCCTGCACACACACACACACACAGCGTCACACAGTAGCAGGTCACCCTGCACACACACACACAGCGTCTCATACACACACACAGCGTCTCATACACACACACAGCGTCTCATACACACACACAGCGCGTCACACACACACAGCACGTCACACACACACACACAGCACGTCACACACACACACACACAGCACGTCACACACACACACACACAGCACGTCACACACACACACACACAGCACGTCACACACACACACACACAGCACGTCACACACACACACACACAGCACGTCACACACACACACACACAGCACGTCACACACACACACACACAGCAGGTCACCCTGCACACACACACAGCAGGTCACCCTGCACACACACACACAGCACGTCACCCTGCACACACACACACAGCACGTCACACACACACACACACAGCACGTCACACACACACACAGCACGTCACACACACACACACACAGCACGTGACACACACACACACACAGCACGTCACACACACACACACACACAGCACGCCCTGCACACACACACACACACAGCACGTCACACACACACACAGCACGTCACACACACACACACACACAGCACGTCACACACACACACACACAGCACGTCACACACACACACACACACAGCACGTCACACACACACACAGCACATCACACACACACACACACACAGCACGTCACACACACACACACACAGCACGTCACACACACACACACACAGCACGTCACACACACACACAGCGTCACACACACACAGCGTCACACACACACACAGCGTCACACACACATTGTAGCAGTTCACCCTACACACACACACGTCACACACACACGTCACACACACACAGCGTCACACACACACAGCGTCACACACACACAGCGTCACACACACACAGCGTCACACACACACAGCGTCACACACACACAGCGTCACACACACACAGCAGCAGTTCACCCTACACACACACAGCGTCACACACACACACACAGCGTCACACACAGCGTCACACACAGCGTCACACACAGCGTCACACACAGCGTCACACACAGCGTCACACACAGCGTCACACACAGCGTCACACACAGCGTCACACACACACACAGCCGCCGTCTCTAGCGCAAGCCTCCCCTCCCCTCGCAGGGCTCGCCAGCAGGGTGCCGTGCCCACCAGACGGTGCCGGCCCGCAGGGCGTGAGCCACGTGGTGTGCCAGCCCCACGTCGCGCGTGAAGACGGCGCCGGCGAGGCCGTAGGGGGAGGCGTTGGCTCGCTCCACCACCTCCTCCACGTCGTCAAAGCGCAGCAGCTGCATCACCGGACCGAAGATCTGCGGCGTCCGCAACCGTGGTCATCGTCGGCGGCGTCATGACAACCGTCTTCACCATCGTCGTCGTAACAACCGTCTTCATCATCGTCGTCATCGTCGTCATCGTCGTCGTAACAACAACCGTCTTCATCATCGTCGTCGTAACAACCGTCTTCATCATCGTCTTCATCATCGTCGTCATAACAACAACCGTCTTCATCATCGTCATCGTCGTCATCGTCGTAACAACAACCGTCTTCGTCATCGTCGTCGTAACAACAACCGTCATCATTGTCGTCATAACAACTGTCTTCATCATCGTCATAACAACCGTCATCATCGTCGTAACAACAACCGTCTTCATCATCGTCGTAACAACCATCATCATCGTCATCGTCGTCATAACCGTCTTCAACATCAGTCATCGTAACAACCGTCTTCATCCTCAGTCATCGTCGTAACAACCGTCTTCATCATCATAGTCATCATCATCATAACAACCATCTTCATCATCATCGTAACAACCATCTTCATCATCATCGTCGCCACAGCAACCATCTTCATCATCATAGCCATCGTCGTAACAACCATCTTCATCGTCGTCACCACCACCATCCGCGTCGTCGTCGCCGCCACCACAACAACCATCATCATCGTCGCCGCCATCATCATCGTTGTCGTCGTCACCACAACAACCAACATCTCCATCGCCGCCACCATCGTCACCACAACAACCAACATCTCCATCGCCGCCACCATCGTCACCATCAGCATCGTCGTCGTCACCACCACCACCACCACCACCACAACAACCATCATCATCGTCGCCGCCATCATCATCGTTGTCGTCGTCACCACAACAACCACCATCATCGTCACCACCACCATCATCGCCGCCACCACCATCAGCATCGTCGTCGTCACCACAACAACCAACGTCATCATCATCATCATCATCCCCCCCATCATCATCGTCGCCACCATCATCATCGTCTTCACCGTAGTTGTCGTCGCCACCATCACCACCATCACCACCATCAACATCACCATCACCCCCCCACCATCACACCACCACCATCACACCACCACCATCACACCATCACACCATCACCCCATCACCACCACCATCACCACCATCAACATCATCACCACCACACCATCACCCCATCACCACCACCATCACCACCATCAACATCATCACCACCATCACCACCACCACCCCCCCACCATCACCACCATCACCACCATCATCACCCCCCCACCATCACCACCATCACCCCCCCACCATCACCACCATCACCACCATCAACATCACCACCACCATCACCACCACCATCAACATCACCACCACCAACACCATCACCACCATCACCACCATCACCCCCCCACCATCACCCCACCACCACCACCACCACACCATCACCATCACCACCACCATCACCACCACCACCACCACCATCACCCCACCACCACCATCACCACCATCACCACCACCACCATCACCACCACCACCATCACCACCCGCCCACCATCACCACCACCATCACCACCACCCCCCCACCATCACCACCATCACCACCACCACCACCCCCCCACCATCACCACCTCACCTCCTCGCGAGCGATCTCCATCCCGTCGGTGACGTCACGGAACACGGTGGGCTCCACAAAAAAGCCGCTGGCACCACCGCCGGCACCACCGCCGGCACCACCACCGGCACCGCCACCGGCACCACCACCACCACCACCACCGGCACCACCACCACCCCAGCGTCGCCCACCACACACAAGGCCGGCGCCCTCGGCACGGCCCCTCTCCACGAAGCCCAGCACCTTGCCCAGCTGCACCTCGTCCACCTGGGGGCGGGGGGGGGATGAGGAGGAGGATGAGGATGGGGGATGATGATGATGACGATGACGGATGATGACGATGACGGATGATGATGATGACGGATGATGATGATGACGGATGATGATGATGACGGATGATGATGATGACGGAGGATGGAGGATGATGATGACGAGGATGGAGGATTAAGGATGGTGATAACGAGGATGGTGGAGGATGATGATGACGGATGATGATGATGATGACGGAGGATGAAGGATGGTGATGAGGATGGTGGAGGATGATGATGATGACGACTGACGGAGGATGATGATGATGACGAGGATGGAGGATGATGATGATGACGAGGATGAAGGATGACGACGAGGATGAAGGATGACGACGAGGAAGAAGAGGAGGTGGATGGGAGGTCGTGGAAGTTGGAGGAGGGAGGCAAGGAGCAAGGAGGAGCAGGAGGAGGAGGAGCGAGTGGTGAGTGGTGTGTGGTGGTGGTGAGGGGTGAGTGGTGAGTGTGGTGAGTGGTGGTGGTGGTGAGGGGTGAGTGGTGAGTGTGGTGAGTGGTGAGTGTGTGGTGAGTGTGGTGAGTGTGTGGTGTGTGTGGTGAGTGTGGTGTGTGTAGTGTGTGTGGTGTGTGTGGTGGTGGTGAGGGGTGAGTGGTGAGTGGTGTGTGGTGGTGGTGAGGGGTGAGTGGTGTGTGTGGTGAGTGGTGTGTGTGGTGTGTGTGGTGAGTGGTGGTGGTGTGTGTGGTGAGTGGTGGTGAGTGGTGGTGAGTGGTGAGTGTGTGGTGTGTGTAGTGTGTGTGGTGTGTGTGGTGTGTGGTGTGTGGTGTGTGGTGTGTGGTGTGTGGTGTGTGTGGTGAGTGGTGAGTGGTGTGTGGTGAGTGTGGGGAGTGTGGTGAGTGTGGTGTGTGTGGTGGGTGTGGTGAGTGTGGTGAGTGTGGTGAGTGTGGTGAGTGTGGTGTGAGTGGTGAGTGTGGTGTGTGTGGTGAGTGGTGAGTGGTGAGTGTGGTGTGTGTGGTGAGTGTGGTGAGTGTGGTGTGTGTGGTGAGTGGTGAGTGGTGAGTGTGGTGTGTGTGGTGAGTGGTGAGTGGTGAGTGTGGTGAGTGTGGTGAGTGTGGTGTGAGTGGTGTGAGTGGTGTGAGTGGTGTGTGTGGTGGTGAGTGTGGTGAGTGTGGTGTGTGTGGTGGTGAGTGTGGTGTGTGGTGGTGAGTGTGGTGAGTGTGGTGGTGAGTGTGGTGTGTGTGGTGGTGAGTGTGGTGTGTGTGGTGAGTGTGGTGTGTGTGGTGTGTGTGGTGGTGAGTGTGGTGTGTGTGGTGAGTGTGGTGAGTGTGGTGTGTGTGGTGAGTGTGGTGTGTGGTGGTGAGTGGTGGTGAGTGGTGGTGAGTGGTGGTGAGTGGTGAGGTGGTGAGTGGTGAGTGGTGGTGAGTGTGGTGAGTGTGGTGAGTGGTGAGTGGTGGTGAGTGTGGTGAGTGTGGTGAGTGGTGAGTGTGGTGAGTGGTGAGTGTGGTGAGTGGTGTGTGGTGTGTGGTGGTGAGTGGTGAGTGTGGTGAGTGGTGAGTGGTGTGAGTGGTGAGTGGCGTGTGTGGTGAGTGGTGAGTGGTGTGAGTGGTGAGTGGTGTGTGTGGTGGTGTGTGTGTGTGTGTGGTGGTGAGTGGTGAGTGAGTGGTGAGTGGTGGTGGTGAGTGGTGTGTGGTGAGTGGTGTGTGGTGAGTGTGGCGAGTGGTGGTGGTGAGTGGTGAGTGTGGTGTGTGTGTGTGGTGTGTGTGGTGTGTGTGGTGAGTGTGGTGAGTGTGGTGAGTGTGGTGAGTGTGGTGAGTGTGGTGAGTGTGGTGAGTGTGGTGAGTGTGGTGTGTGTGGTGTGTGTGGTGAGTGGTGTGTGTGGTGAGTGGTGAGTGGTGGTGGTGAGTGGTGTGTGTGGTGAGTGGTGAGTGGTGGTGGTGAGTGGTGTGTGGTGAGTGTGGCGAGTGGTGGTGGTGAGTGGTGTGTGGTGAGTGTGGTGAGTGTGGTGGTGTGTGGTGAGTGTGGTGTGTGGTGAGTGGTGTGAGTGTGGTGTGTGGTGAGTGGTGTGAGTGTGGTGGTGAGTGGTGAGTGGTGTGTGGTGAGTGTGGTGTGTGGTGAGTGTGGTGAGTGTGGTGTAAGATGGAGACACACGAGGGAGGTGAACGAACGAGCCAACATAACGAGCGCTAAGGCACGGGGGGAGAGGGGCGGTGGTGGTGGTGGTGGAGATGGTGGTAGAGATGGTGGTGGTGGTAGAGATGGTGGTGGTGGTGGAGATGGTGGAGATGGTGGTGGTGATGGTGGAGATGGTGGTGGTGATGGTGGAGATGGTGGTGGTGATGGTGGAGATGGTGGTGGTGGAGATGGTGGTGATGGTGGAGGTGGTGGTGGAGATGGTGGTGGTGGTGGTGGAGATGGTGGTAGTGGTGGTGGTGGCGGTAGCGGTGGCGGTGGTGGAGATGGTGGTGATGGTGGTGGAGATGGTGGAGATGGTGGTGGTGGTGGTGGAGATGGTGGTAGAGGTGGTGGTAGTGGTGGTGGTGGCGGTAGCGGTGGTAGTGGCGGCAGTGGGGGGCGGTGGCGGTAGTGGCAGTGGTGGTGGCGGCGGTAAGTGGTGGAGATGGTGATGGTGGCGGTAGAGGCGGTGGTGGAGGTGGCGGCAGAGGCGGTGGTAGAGGCGGTGGTCTAGCTCGCGAGCTCGCCCCTCACGAGGGGTCCGTGCTGGGTGAGGGGGTTGAAGGGGTCCCCCAAGGCGCCCCGCTGAGCCCTGTGGACGCTGCGCTCCACAAATTCGTCGTAGACGGCCGACTGCACAAAGGTCCGGGAGCCAGCACAGCAGCACTGGCCCTGGTTGAAGAAGATGGCCGTGTGGGAATCCTCCACGGCCGTGTCCACTACGCACGGGGGGGGCGGGGGGGGGGGGGGGGGGGGAGAGGGGGGCGGGGAGAGAGAGGGGGGGAGAGGGGGGGGGGAGACAGAGAGTGGGCGGTGTGGGGGTGGTGGTGGGGGTGATGGTGACGATGGGGGTGACGATGGGGGTGACGATGGGGGTGACGATGGGGGTGACGATGGGGGTGACGATGGGGGTGACGATGGGGGTGACGATGGGGGGTGACGATGGGGGTGACGATGGGGGTGACGATGGGGGTGACGATGGGGGTGACGATGGGGGTGACGATGGGGGTGACGATGGGGGTGACGATGGGGGTGACGATGGGGGGTGACGATGGGGGTGACGATGGGGGTGACGATGGGGGTGACGATGGGGGTGACGATGGGGGTGACGATGGGGGTGACGATGGGGGTGACGATGGTGACGATGGTGACGATGGGAGTGATGGGGGTGATGGTGACGGTGATGGTGACGGTGATGGTGACGGGAGTGATGGGGTGATGGTGATGGGGGTGATGGTGACGGTGATGGTGACGATGGTGACGATGATGGGAGTGATGGGGGTGATGGTGACGATGGGGGTGATGGTGACAATGGGGGTGATAGTGACGGTGATGGGGGTGACGGTGACGATGATGGGAGTGATGGTGACAATGGGGGTGATAGTGACGGTGATGGTGACGATGGTGACGATGATGGGAGTGATGGTGACGATGGGGGTGATGGTGACAATGGGGGTGATAGTGACGGTGATGGGGGTGACGGTGACGATGGTGATGGCGGTGATGGTGGCTCACAGTCGGCATCGGCAAAGATGATGTTGGGACTCTTCCCTCCCAACTCCAGGGTGACCTTCTTCAAGTTGCTCCTCCCGGCTGCCTCTTGGATTAGTTGCCCTACCTACAACCATCACCATCAGTAGCAGCAACAACATCATCATCATTCTAAATCAGTAGCAACATCATCATCCTAAACGAACGAGTGGGTGAGCTAGTGAGTGAGTGAGTGGGTGAGCTAGTGAGTGAGTGAGTGGGTGAGCTAGTGAGTGAGTGAGTGGGCGAGTGAGTGGGCGAGTGAGTGGGCGAGTGAGTGGGTGAGTGATTGAGCGAACGAGCATGTGAGTGGGTGGGTGAGTGAGCAAACGAGGTGAGTGGGTGAGTGAGTGAGTGGGTGAGCGAGCGAACGGGCGTGCGAGCGAACGAGTGGGTGAGTGAGGGGGTGAGTGAGTGAGTGGGTGAGCGAACAAGCGGGTGAGTGAGCGAACGAGTGGGTGAGTGAGTGAGCGAGCGAGTAGACTGGTGAGCGAGCGAGTGGGTGGGTGAGTGAGTAGACTGGTGAGTGAGCGAGTAGACTGGTGAGTGAGTGGGTGGGTGAGCGAGTAGACTGGTGAGTGAGCGAGTGGGTGAGCGAGCGAGTAGACTGGTGAGTGAGTGGGTGAGCGAGCGAGTAGACTGGTGAGTGAGCGAGCGAGTGGGTGGGTGAGCGAGTAGACTGGTGAGTGAGCGAGTGGGTGAGCGAGCGAGTAGATTGGTGAGTGAGTGGGGGAGCGAGCGAGTAGACTGGTGAGTGAGCGAGTAGACTGGTGAGTGAGTGGGTGGGTGAGCTAGTAGACTGGTGAGTGAGCGAGTGGGTGAGCGAGCGAGTAGACTGGTGAGTGAGCGAGCGAGTGGGTGGGTGAGCGAGTAGACTGGTGAGTGAGCGAGTGGGTGAGCGAGCGAGTAGACTGGTGAGTGAGTGGGGGAGCGAGCGAGTAGACTGGTGAGTGAGTGGGGGAGCGAGCGAGTAGACTGGTGAGTGAGCGAGCGAGTAGACTGGTGAGTGAGCGAGTGAGTGAGCGAGTAGACTGGTGAGTGAGCGAGTAGACTGGTGAGTGAGCGAGTAGACTGGTGAGTGAGCGAGCGAGTAGACTGGTGAGTGAGCGAGCGAGTAGACTGGTGAGTGAGCGAGTGAGTGAGCGAGTAGACTGGTGAGTGAGCGAGTGGGTGAGCGAGCGAGTAGACTGGTGAGTGAGTGGGGGAGCGAGCGAGTAGACTGGTGAGTGAGCGAGCGAGTAGACTGGTGAGTGAGCGAGTGAGTGAGCGAGTAGACTGGTGAGTGAGCGAGTAGACTGGTGAGTGAGCGAGTAGACTGGTGAGTGAGCGAGTAGACTGGTGAGTGAGCGAGTAGACTGGTGAGTGAGCGAGTGGGTGGGTGAGCAAGTGGGTGGGTGAGCGAGTGGGTGCGTGAGCGAGTAGACTGGTGAGTGAGCGAGCGAGTAGACTGGTGAGTGAGCGAGTGGGCGAGTGAGCGAGTAGACTGGTGAGTGCGCGAGTGGGCGAGTGAGCGAGTAGACTGGTGAGTGAGCGAGTGGGCGAGTGAACGAGCAGGCGAGTGGGTGGGTGAGTGAGTGAGTGAACGAGCAAGTGGGTGAGTGAGCGAGTAGACTGGTGAGTGAGTGGGTGAGTGAGCGACTAGACTGGTGAGTGAGCGAGTGGGTGGGTGGGTGAGCGAGCGAGCGAGTAGACTGGTGAGTGAGTGAGCGAGTGGGTGAGTGAGCGAGTGGGTGGGTGAGCGAGTAGACTGGCGAGTGAGCGAGCGGGTGAGTGAGCGAGCGAGTGAGCGGGCGACTCACCTCGGTGGAGCCGGTGAAGGCCACCTTGTCCACCAGGGGGTGAGCCGCGATGGCCGCTCCTGCCGTTGGCCCGAAGCCCGGAACGATGTTCACCACGCCCGGCGGGAAACCGGCCTGCGCTCAGGTCCGTTCAGCCAGAAACACAAAAACACACACACACAAAAACACACACACACACAGACACACACACACACACAGACACACACACACACACAGACACACACACACAGAAACACAAACACAGTGACACACACACACACACAGACACAAACACACACACAAACACACACACACAGGCAGTGGGAGTTGTCACTAATACCCCATCACCACCACCACCACCATCATCACCACCACCACCACCACCATCATCACCACCACCATCAGGACCACCACCACCATCATCACCACCACCACCAACCCCCCCCACCATCACCATCACCACCATCATCACCACCACCATCACCACCATCATCACCACCATCACCCCTCCCCCCACCATCACCACCATCATCATCACCACCACCATCACCATCAACCCCCCCCACCATCACCATCACCACCATCATCACCACCACCACCATCACCACCATCATCACCACTATCACCCCTCCCCCCACCATCACCACCACCATCATCACCACCACCATCACCATCAACCCCCCCCACCACCACCACCACCCCCACCCACCACCACCCCCACCCCCCCAACCATCACCCCCACCACTCCCCCCACCCCCCCCCCACCTCTGCGATGAGCTGTGCCACGTAGAGAGCACTGAGTGGCGTCTGCTCCGCCACCTTCATCACCACGGTGTTGCCCGTGGCGAGCGCCGGGCCCAGCTTCCACGCCTGCATCAGCAGCGGAAAGTTCCACTGGGGGGGGGGGATTGGGGGGGGATTGGGGGGCAGGGTGTGTACAGTGAGGAGCCTGGAAGGTGGGCGGGGCTGAGGGGCGGTCACCTGGTCCCCGAGAGCCCTCGGGAACATTCCAGAAGGAGCTCAAGGAGCCCGGAAGGTGGGCGGGGCCGAGGGGCGGAGACTGGAAGGTGGGCGGGGCCAAGGGGTGCAGAGCCTGGAAGGTGGGCGAGGCCGAGGGGCGGAGCCTGGAAGGTGGGCGAGGCTGAGGGGCAGAGCCTGGAAGGTGGGCGGGGCCGAGGGGCGGTCACCTGGAAGGTGGGCGGGGCCGAGGGGCGGTCACCTGGTCGCAGAGAGCCCTCGGGAACATTCCAGAAGGAGCTCGAGGAGCCTGGAAGGTGGGCGGGGCTGAGGGGCGGAGCCTGGAAGGTGGGCGGGGCCGAGGGGCGGAGCCTGGAAGGTGGGCGAGGCCGAGGGGCAGGAGCCTGGAAGGTGGGCGGGGCTGAGGGGCGGTCACCTGGTCGCAGAGAGCCCTCGGGAACATTCGAGAAGGAGCGCCAGGAGCCCGGAAGGTGGGCGGGGCTGAGGGGCGGAGTCTGGAAGGTGGGCGGGGCCGAGGAGCGGAACTCGGAAGGTGGGCGAGGCCAAGGGGCGGAGCCTGGAAGGTGGGCGGGGCCGAGGGGCGGAGCCTGGAAGGTGGGCGGGGGGCTGAGGGGCGGAGCCTGAAAGGTGGGCGTGGCCGAGGGGCGGAGCCTGGAAGGTGGGCGGGGCTGAGGGGTGGAGCCTGGAATGTGGGCGGGGCCGAGGGGTGGAGCCCAGAAGGTGGGCGGGGCCGAGGGGCAGAGCCTGGAAAGTGGGCGGGGGCCAAGGGGGGCGGAGCCTGGAAGGTGGGCGGGGCTCAGGGGCGGTCACCTAGCCCCCGAGAGCTCTCAGGAACATTCCAGAAGGGGCTCCAGGAGCCCGGAAGGTGGGCGGGGCCGAGGGGGGCGGAGCCCGGAAGGTGGGCGGGGCCGAGGGGCGGAGCCCGCCCCAGCCCGGGAGCAGCCTCAGCGAGGGCCTCGCCGAGGGCCTCAGCGAGGGCCTCAGCGAGGGCCTCAGCGAGGGCCTCAGCGAGGGCCTCAGCGAGGGCCTCAGCGAGGGCCTCAGCGAGGGCCTCAGCGAGGGCCTCAGCGAGGGCCTCAGCGAGGGCCTCAGCGAGGGCCTCAGCGAGGGCCTCAGCGAGGGCCTCAGCGAGGGCCTCAGCGAGGGCCTCAGCGAGGGCCTCTTCTTCAAGTGTCGGCGTTCGAAGATCCACGTGGGTGGAGAAGAAGCCTCTGGCCAGGCGGTACCGGGGGACCCGGCTCGTGGTCCGGACCGGGATGGTGAACCACGGTGCCCGGTTCTGCCGTAGCGTCGATGGATGGGCGTTCGAGACGCGAGCGTGGGTCGTGTTGCGGTGGTAGCGGTAGTGACTAGCGGTAGCGGTAGCAGTAGCGGTAGTGTTACTAGCGGTAGCGGCACTAGCGGTAGTGTTACTAGCGGTAGCGTTACTAGCGGTAGTGTTACTAGCGGTAGCAGTAGCGGTAGCAGTAGCGGTAGCAGTAGCGGTAGCGGCACTAGCGGCAGTGTTACTAGCGGTAGTTAGTGAGTGTTACTAGCGGTAGTTAGTGAGTGTTACTAGCGGTAGTGCTACTAGCGGTAGTTACCGGGATGATCTGCCCACACACTCCCACGGGCTCCCTGCGTGTGTAACAGAAGTAATCTCCGTCCACAGGTATCGTCTGGCCGTGCACCTTGTCAGCCCAACCCGCGTAGTAGCTGGGGGGGGGGGTGAGGGGGGGGGGTGAGGGGGGGTGAGGGGGGGGTGAGGGGGGGTGAGGGGAGAGAATGGGGGGGGGTAAGGAGAGGGGGTGCGTGAGCTCACCCCCCGTGTCTCCCACACCCCCCACCCATCTCTCTCCCCCCACCCCCCCCCCCCCCCCCCCCCGTGTCTCCCACCCCCCCCACCGTGCCCCCCCCCACCCCCCCCGTGCCCCCCACCGTAGACACGCGATGACGAGGTGCAGGTCCACGCTGTAGGAGTTGGAGTACGGCTTCCCGTTGTCCAGCGTCTCCAGGCACTGCCAACAACACCAACATCACCAACACCACCAACATCACAATCAACACCAACATCACAATCAACACCAACACCAACACCACCATCATCACCATCACAATCAACACCAACATCACAATCAACACCAACACCAACACCACCATCATCACCATCACAATCAACACCAACATCACAATCAACACCAACACCACCAACACAAACCACTTCCCGTTGTCCAGCGTCTCCAGGCACTGCCAACAACAACACCAACAACATCATCATCATCATCACCATCACCATCAACACCATCACCACCATCACCTCTCATCACCACCACCACCATCACCACCATCACCATCACCACCATCACCACCATCACCATCACCACCATCATCATCATCATCACCACCACCATCATCACCACCACCACCACCATCATCACCACCACCATCACCACCACCATCACCACCATCATCACCACCACCACCATCATCACCACCATCACCATCACCACCACCACCATCACCACCACCACCACCACCATCACCACCACCACCATCACCACCACCACCATCACCACCACCACCATCACCACCACCACCATCACCACCACCACCATCACCACCACCACCATCACCACCACCACCATCACCACCACCACCATCACCACCACCACCATCACCACCACCACCATCACCACCACCACCATCACCACCACCACCATCACCACCACCACCATCACCACCACCACCATCACCACCACCACCATCACCACCACCACCATCACCACCACCACCATCACCACCACCACCATCACCACCACCACCATCACCACCACCATCACCATCACCACCACCATCACCACCACCACCACCATCACCACCATCACCACCACCACCATCACCACCACCATCACCACCACCATCACCACCACCACCATCACCACCACCACCATCACCACCACCACCATAACCACCAACACCACCACCCTCCTGTGAGACACGAGGAGGTCTCAACCGGTCCCCCTGGCGGAGGGTGCCCCTGGCGGAGGGGGTCCCCCTGGCGGAGGGGGTCCCCCTGGCGGAGGGGGTCCCCCTGGCGGAGGTGGAACTAACACATCCTCCTGGTTAAGCGAGATGCCCATGGGTGGTCCCCCAGGCGGAGAGGGTCCCCCTGGCGGAGCTCACCGCCAGGTAGGTGCGGTCCCTCTCGATGAGGTCGGCCAGCCGGTGGAGGAGGTTTCCTCGCTCCGAGGCGTCCATCCTCCGCCAGGGGGACCCGCGGCGGAACGCCGTGCGGGCGGCGAGCACAGCGTCATCTACATCCAACTGGGGGGACAGAGACACACAGAGACACACAGTGTCACACAGTGTCACACACACACACACAGTGTCATACAGAGACACAGACAGACACACAGCGTCATCTACATCCAACTGGGGGGACAGAGACACACAGAGACACACAGTGTCACACAGTGTCACACACACACACACACAGTGTCATACAGAGACACAGACAGACACACAGCGTCATCTACATCCAACTGGGGGGACAGAGACACACAGAGACACACAGTGTCACACAGTGTCACACACACACACACAGTGTCATACAGAGACACAGACAGACACACAGCGTCATCTACATCCAACTGGGGACACAGAGACACACACAGAGACACACAGTGTCACACAGTGTCACACACACACACAGTGTCATACAGAGACACAGACAGACACACAGCGTCATCTACATCCAACTGGGGACACAGAGACACACACAGAGACACACAGTGTCACACAGTGTCACACACACACAGTGTCATACAGAGACACAGACAGACACACAGCGTCATCTACATCCAACTGGGGACACAGAGACACACACAGAGACACACAGTGTCACACAGTGTCACACACACACACAGTGTCATACAGAGACACAGACAGACACACAGCGTCATCTACATCCAACTGGGGACACAGAGACACACACAGAGACACACAGTGTCACACAGTGTCACACACACACAGTGTCATACAGAGACACAGACAGACACACAGCGTCATCTACATCCAACTGGGGGGACACAGAGACACACACAGAGACACACAGTGTCACACAGTGTCACACACACACACACAGTGTCATACAGAGACACAGACAGACACACAGCGTCATCTACATCCAACTGGGGACACAGAGACACACACAGAGACACACAGTGTCACACAGTGTCACACACACACAGTGTCATACAGAGACACAGACAGACACACAGCGTCATCTACATCCAACTGGGGGGACACAGAGACACACACAGAGACACACAGTGTCACACAGTGTCACACACACACACACAGTGTCATACAGAGACACAGACAGACACATAGCGTCATCTACATCCAACTGGGGACACAGAGACACACACAGAGACACACAGTGTCACACAGTGTCACACACA